AATTTAGGTTCCTAAATCGTAACCTTGTTTAAGAAAATGGCCCTCTATGATAGATTCTACTTTTGCCCCTGGATGGAAACAACCAGAATGGCCAATGTAAAATAACATAATATAACAAATTCTATTAAACTGCAAAGACCAAAGGACTCAACTATGAGAAATGACAGGAATCACTGGCAATAGCCTTCTATGAAGTGACAAATTAATTATAAAGTCTCTTAAGGACGCACGTGTTCATATTGTAAAAATTAAATGACAGGCAAAGAGCCAAAACCACTCTAGAGACTTTTGAGCATTTTCTAAATATTGGTTTTCTGCTTCATGTCCTAAAGTGGGAATCTGCAACCTGAAATATATAAGACAGTAAAGCAGACTGACCCTTTTTAATTAACCTGCAAGGATATTAATGTACAATGTATTTTTACAAAGCAGTAATTAAAAAGGAGTGACTGTTTGCCATATACGGGTGTAACACATACTGCGCCTCCTTGACTAGTTAGTTGTAGAGTCATCCTGACTGGTATCTGAGAGAGTAAAGTACACTCATATAGTACTCTGAAAGGGTGTGAAGAAACCACACAATATTAATATAGTACGTTCATGATAGATGTGCTAAAAACATTTAGATTTATACCTTATATTGGTTAACTGTGAAAAATGTAAGGCTCCTTAAGCTGCCAAATTACAGCTTTGCTGTCTAATATATTAACTAGTAATCTTTAAATGAATTAAAGAACAAGAAGAAAGATAAATAGTACACAGCTGCAAAACATATGTAGCCCTTTTTGGGGGGTGGTTAAGTGAAATTACCCTCCCCTGAACAGAATATTGCACTATACCGGTATATAATTAAGAGAACCAGAACCTTTGCTAAGTGGAGAAGTGGGTTTGATAAAAAAGTTGGCATTGCCTCCACCCAGGACAGTGGCTCTCAGAACAGATGGGGATTTCCCTAAGAAAAGATTATTAAAAGTACAAACATCTAAAGTACAAACATGTATTATCAGAAAAGGGCCCAAAAGGAGTCCTAGTGGAATTGTGTACATATTCCCAGGTGTATATATAGTTAATAGCGAAACCTCCAGATGAATGTTGCAGCAACGTCTTGTTGCAGGATGATCACAATGACTGTCTTGGTGTTGGTGACCTATTGACAAGATCTGTGGTGATAAGCAGACGCTCCAGCCATTTTCCAACCAGCCAGGAATACAGGTTGTCACCAGCAGAGACTGTTGCGTCATTGGAAGTCAGCCTATCTACTTCTCCCTTAGTCTCTAGTAGTGTATAATCAGTCATGCAACCAGAATTCTAAGTACCAGAAATGGCCGTCTGATGCCTAACCTGCCTCTAGTCTATGTTGGCTATTGAGCCCTGAGCTAAAACTGGCTATAGAATCCCAGACCAGAAGGGACAGGGTTAACTAGACTAACAGGAGCTGCTTTTTAAACTCTATTGCAATGGACAGGTTCACCTACTAATATACAGCAAGGCAACTACTATGTACACACTCTGTGGGAGATTTATTAAAACTGGTGCACAAAGAATCTGGTTCAACTGTGCAAAGTAACCAATCAGCTTCTAGGATCTATTGTCAAAGCTTAATTGAACAAGCTAAATGTAGAAGTTAATTGGTTTCTATGCACAGCTGCACCAGATTCTGTGTGCACCAGTTTTAGTAACCCCCCCCCAAATTATCTGGAATAGCACATGCAAGATAACAAGGGAACAGAGACGCTTCTGTCACCAGTCTTTAGATATATACAGTATTCATACACCCAGAAGCAATGGGCAACAATAATAAACTATTAAATGTAGGAACACTTGCCTAGAAATCTCTGTATTCTGGTCTGAGTTTAGCAATAGCAGCTTTTCTATAGATAGAACATTTGCCTGTATTTAGCTTGCTGGACCTTTGACCAAGTGGACATTTGATAAGTGGAGTTAAAAAACTGGAGTGGAAAACAGGAGATTATAACAGGAGTCTTCTAACCTGTAAGTGACAACTGATATTTCCTATTAGTAATATTAATATTTTAACTGGGATATGAGCGCTAGCAGAGTTGAAGCTTTTGTGCAGTGCAAAGAGTGCCGCATGTATGCAACAATGGAGCAACAGCTCCAGGATGGATACCGCTGCTGATAAGGGGCTATGAGAAAGAGGCAAGTCCTCCAAACACGTCAGCCAGTTGGAGGTCTAGGAATCCCAACACAGATATTTTCCAGTGAGACTGAATCTTGCTGTACTTTTTATGATGTGCTCGTTACACTGTTATCCTTTGTGAGTATATTACCACTTCATTTAATAAACTGAATTCAAAGGTAATGCACTAGGCCTGTGCACCCTCTGTTTGTTTCTTTGCATACAGTACTTTTGGATTTCCCTGGTCCGTTGAGGGCAGCAAGGAGTGCATTTTTAAGGCATCCTACAAGTGGTTTTAACGTGTGCACATTCAATCTTCCAGTGCAGGAGTATATGTTTATGCAATTTTCTATGGATATCGCTGCAACAGATGTGAGCTGGTTGCCCTTCTAGAAGCTCACGTTAGGGATTTGGAGGAGCAAGTTGCAACCGACAACCTTGAAAGGGGTCTTCTGCTCCCTGAGCGGGTAGCTAATGGGATTGATGTGGAGGGTGGAGGGGGTAATCAGGATTATCAGGTAGGAACATGGGTTACTGTAATGAGAGGGAATGGTAGGAGCTCACAGAAAAGGAAGGCTGGCCCTGGGTTTGTGCACCCAAACAGATTTGCCAAGTTGGGAGAAGATGTGGGGGTGGCAGCCCTGGATGTCACTGCTATCCCTGTCAGCCGGGAGGGCAGACCATCTGGGATGGGGGTGAGGGTAGTGCAGGAATGCCTAGACAGTTGGTGGTAGTAGGGGATTCTATATTCAGAAGGACTGATAGAATAATTTGTCGCCAGGATTGCCTCAACCGAATGGTTTGCCGTCTCCCTGGTGCCAGGGTTCGGCATGTGGTGGACCGGGTTGATAAATTACTTGGAGGGGCTGGGCATGACCCAGTTGTCTTGGTCAATGTTGGAACCAATGACAGAATACATGGAAGGTGGAGCTCCTTAAGTTGAATGGAAGGACCTCCAAGGTGATATTCTATGAAATATTACCTGCGCCGTGCGCAACTCAGGAAAGACAGGGGGAGATTAGAGAACTAAATGCATGGCTAAAGACCTGGTGTAAGAGGGAAGGATTTGGGTTTCTAGAGCACTGGGCTGACTTTTCATTGGGGTGCAACCTATATGCCAGAGATGGTTTGCACCTAAATAGAAGGGGTCTGCTGTGCTGGGGGAGAGGTTTATGGGGAGGCTGGATGAGTATTTAAACTAGGATCGAGGGCGGAGGGAGAGTTAGATTATAATAGGGTAGACAGATCAGACAGGGGTCAGTCCTTATTGGTGGGTGTGGAATGGGGAAATATGGGGGGAGGGCTATGGCAGATGATAAGAAGGTTCACATATTACAAACAACCATTGGAATTGGTACCATTTGTACGAAAATAAAAAATATGCAAAATACGTGTGCAAAAGGTGTCAATGAATTGGTGTTTGTTCACCAATGCCAGAAGTCTGCCAAGCAATATAGATGAGTTGGACGCTTTGGTGCATGAACAGAACTATGATTTAATTGCTATTTCTGAATCTTGGCTTAATTCGTCACATGACTGGGCCATTAATATTCATGGCTATGTTCTCTTTCGGAGAGACAGGGTAAAAAGGAAAGGTGGTGGTATCTGTCTCTATGTGAGAAGTGATCTCAGAGCGAGTGTGAAAGATGACTTAGTTGATGGAGAGTGTGATGAGGCTGAAGCATTATGGGTGGAACTGCAAATGGGGGTGCATACTACAAAGGTAATCATTAGAGTTTATTATAGGCCTCCCAGTGTTAATGAGGATATGGAGACTAATCTCATTGCGAAAGGGCTGCAAGGGCTGGGACAGTGATAATAATGGGGAATTTAATTACCTGGAAATTTATTGGAATAATGGTACTGCAGGAACAGTTAAAGGGAAAAAAAAATGTATAAACTACTAAAGGACAATTTTATGGTACAGTTCATAGAGGCCCCAACTAGGAATGATGCTCTGCTGGAACTGGTAATCTCAAACCATGCAGAGCCTATTATGAATGTCCATATAAAAGAACACCTGGGTAGCAGTTACTATAACATGATTTCATTTATTGTTAGCTGTAAACAGCAGACACATACGGGAAAAATAAAAATGCTCAATTTTAAGAGAGCTAATTTTCCAAGGCTGAGAGCTGCTCTCCAAGACTTAGACTGGGAGGGGATATTGGCATTGAGGAATACAACACAGAAATGGGAGTTCTTCAAAAAGACTGTATGTGAACAGTCTGCAAAATATATTCCCATGGGCAACAAGTTTAAAAAGCTAAAAATCAAACCTATGTGGCTTGCAACCAAAGTTAAAAAAGCTACAGATAATAAGAAAAGAGCTTTTATTAATCCCTTAACACCGACCGTACACAAATATGCAGCCTCTCGGCAGCTAGGCCTTGACACCGAGCGGCCACATATTTGCGTACCATTTGAAAACACATGTATGCTGAAAGTGCGCGCCCTGCATGCTTCCAGATGATCCACATTGGCTCAGAATTGATATGATTCAGAAATATTTAGACAGAATAAAGGTGAATAAAGCATCTGGACTGGATGGCATACACCCACGGGTCCTTATCCACCTCCCGTCCGGCCGTTGTATATAAACAGCTGGACAGTGGCAGTGCAGGGTCGGGTGGCCGTTTATAAATGGCCTCCCCGCCCCCTGCTTGTGCACGCTCCCTGGGAGCGCGCAGCACCGCGATCCGATGCCCGCTGTGTCCTCCGGACACAGTGGAACACCGATCATCGGACGGGACCTCTGTGCGAGGTCCCGATCATGTGATCACTGATTGGCCAATCAGTGATCATATGCAGAGTGGTAAGCAAGGTGTCACTTCTGACATCATTGCTTACTACGGGTGAAATCTGTGAATGATCACAGAGGTCACATAGTACAAGGCTATTCACAACAGCCTTGTACCATGTGACAAGCTGTGACCAATCACAGCTCACACAGTTCTCAATGTAGAGAAGAGAGAAATGATTGTTTTTTACAGCCTTTATGGGTGTAAAAGCAATCAGTGTAAAAAAAAAAAAATCTTCATCACCCTCCACAAGTAGTACAGTGTAACCATGTCGGTGGACGGTGGGTGGCGGTGGACGTGGTATACTTGGATTTTGCAAAAGCCTTTGACACAGTTCCCCATACACGGCTAATGTGTAAGGTAAAGTCTACAGGCTTGGAAAAACCCATATGTAAATGGATAGAAAACTGGCTAAAAGATCGTATTCAGAGAGTAGTGGTTAATGATTCATACTCTGAATGGTCTAGGGTTGTCAGTGGTGTACCGCAAGGTTCAGTGTTGGGACCTTTACTTTTTAATATATTTATAAACGATATTGGGTCTGGGATTAAAAATACCATTTCAGTCTTTGCAGAGGACACTAAGCAGTGCATTAACCTCCCTGGCGGTTTTCCCGAGTGTAGCTCGGGGTAAAATTTCTATACCACAAGCGGTAACCCCGAGCTACACTCGGGCTTACCATGCGGCGCTGCTCTGGGGGTCCCTGCAGCACTTACCTTGTCCTTCGTTCCCACAATGTGTCCCCTGCAGTGTCCCCGGCCATCTCCTCCGGCCGATGCCGGCATCCGGCTTCTGTGTTCCGGTCCCCGTGACGTCGGGACGTACGGGCGCCGGCGGCGGCGGGAAATTTAAAAAATTTAAAAAATGTCTTTTTTTTTTTTTTCAATTTTAAATAGTAAAACATTGCTGTTTCATCCCATTTCACATACATATTGTCCCTAGTGCTTTGTCCTGTGCCCTGCCTGCATTTTGTCTGTTCTTTCTGCCTGAAAACTTAGAAAAGTCCATGGCGTCCAAAAAGCGTCCCTTTACGTCAAAAGCGGTTTTAGACCGGCTAGAGAACAGCGATAGTAAATCAGAACCACTTACAGAATTGAGTGATAATGATTTGTGGGGAAATTTTCCTAAAAATTACAGCCTACAATAAAAAACTATTTCCATGCGAAAAAATGGTACCGCTTTCAGCACAAAAAATCGGAAGGAATCATACCGCCAAGGAGGTTAAATGAGGTTAAATGTTGATAAATGTAAAGTTATGCACTTGGGGGCTACGAATATGCATGCATCATACATACTAGTGGGAGCACAACTAGGGGATTCAATGGTGGAGAAGGATCTGGGAGTTCTGGTAGATCGCAAGCTTAACCACTTCAAGTCCGGACACTTTTACCCCCTTTCTGCCCAGGCCAATTTTCATCTTTAAACGCTATCACACTTTGAATGACAATTGCACGGTCTTGCAACACTGTACCCATATGAATTTTTTAGCATTTTTTTGAGACAGATAAAGCTTTATTTTGGTGGTATTTATTCACCACTGGGATTTTTTGTTTTTTTTTTGCTATATAAATGAAAAAAAGACCAAAAATTTTTAAAAAAGTTTTTCTTATAAAATTGTGCAATTAAATAATCTTTCTTCATAAATCTTGGCCAAAATGTATTCAGTTATCTTTTTAGTAAAAAAAAATAAATAAATTAAAAAAAATTTTTTTTTACATTTTTATTTTATTTTTTCATTAATGTTTTTTTTTCTTTTTCTAAATGCTGTCACACTAGCAGTACATTGTTATCATGGTGATACTGTACTACTTGTGGGGGGTTATGAAGATTTTTTTTTTTACACCGATTGCTTTGACACCCATAAAGGCTGTAAAAGTAATCATTTCTCCTCTCTGGCTGCATTCTTGCAGCCATTGAGAAATACTGTGTGAGCTGTGACTGATCACAGCTTGTCACATGGTACAAGGCTGTTGTGAATAGCCTTGTAATGTGTGACCTCTGTGATCATTCACAGATTTCACACGTAGTAAGCAAGGATGTCAGAAGTGACATCCTTGCTTACTACTCTTCATGTGATCACTGATTGGCCAATCAGTGATCACATGATCGGGACCTCGCACAGAGGTCCTGTACAACGATCGGAGGACACAGCGGGCACCGGATTGCGGGGAGCGCACAGAAGCAGGGGGTGGGGAAGCCATTTATAAACAGTCATCCCCCCTGCACTGCCACCGTTCGGCCATTTATATACAACGGCCAGACAGGAAGTGGTTAATAATGGCATGCAATGCCAAGCTGCGGCTTCTAAAGCTAGCAAAATCCTCTCTTGTATTAAAAGAGGTATAGACCCTCCAGTGATAATATTTGGAAAGTGATCCACTTGATTCATCTATTGAATCACCGCAAGATGCCAGGCTTTCTTCTCTCCCTTTACAAAGCCTGATTCCCTGTCTTGGGATTATCTCCGTTATGTTTTGGAGAGATGGGGCTTTGGGAATTCAACTTTAATTTGGATCTCCGCCCTCTACTCCTCACCTACGGCTCAGGTTAAACATTTCGGTCACTTTTCCACCCCATTCCCCATATATTGAGGCACCAGGCAGGGATGTCCATTATCCCCGATTTTATTCATTTTGGCACTTGAACCCCTAGCCATAGTGCTTCGAGACAGCCCCAACATTATGGGTATTCCCTATGCAGGCACACATTACAAGGTGAACCTTATTGCAGATGATGCTCTCTTAACATTAACCAACCCCATCACTACCCTCCCAAACCTGCAATCTATTCTATCTCATTTTTCCGCATTGTCAGGCCTCCTCATTAACCCCAAAAAAACCACAGTCTTGAATATTTCATCCTCTCCCTCTATGGTGACACATATTCAAATGAGCTATCCCTATCACTGGGCAGTCTCCTCGCTGGATTATCTGGGTGTCAAGCTGACTCCTTTCTATGCCACTCTTTATGCAACCAATTACTACCCATTATTGAGACACGTCACCTCTCTTATGCAATATTGGCAATTCCCCTCCCTATCCTGGATTGGATGCATTCACGCAGTTAAAATGACCTTACTCCTCAAAATATTATACTATTTCATAACCCTACCCGGTTCGAGTACCCTCCTTTTTATGCTTGATACAGAACAGACTTCTTTCCTTTATATGGGCCTATAAGCGCCCCAGGGTGTCACGTCACACCTTGTACACCCATAGACTTAGCAGAGGTTTGGGAGTTCCGAATGTCACCAAATATTACATGGCAGCACAAATCTCTCAACTCTCTCTCCTTCACGCTTCAACGGATGTCCCCTTCTGGGTACTTCTAGAGATCTCCTACTGCTGCCCGGTCCCTATGGCAGCGCTCCTTTGACTCCCTCATAAGCTTCGTCCTGCTTCTCTTAGTCCTCTAATTATTCACAGCCTGCGCATCTGGGACTCTGCATTACTCAGGTAATCTCATGTCTCCTTTTCTGCCTCTCCTTACTCATCTCAACAACCCCCTCTTCCCTCCAGGCCTGGAACAGCCCAAAGCGTTTATGTGGTGGTCCACCCACGGTTTCTCTCAGGTCCGCAATTTCCTTAACTCCTGGGTTTTCCCCTCATAGTCCTCTATTCAAAAGACTTATAACATGCCCCCCCCCCCCAGGGAATTTTTTTATGTACAGCTTCAAGACTGGGTGACCTCCCTGAGGAGTAACACAACCTTTCTGTATTGCACTATGGTCTTTGATTGCATCTGCCAGAATTTCCCTAGGGCTTCGGGTATTATTTCTTCTATCTATTCCTCTCTGAATGCTGTTACCAACTCCCCTTCCATCTCTTATAAATTCAGTTGGGAGCGAGACTTGGGGTACCCCATTGATCCTGAGGACTGGAGTAGAGCCTGGTCATCCATAGCCAAATGTTCTTTCAATAGTACCACTCTGGAGGCAGCCTATAAGGCCCTCCTGAGATGGCACTGGGTTCCAGCCCATATTGCAGGCTTAAACCCCTCTTGTGATGATAGGAGTTTCAGAGGCTGTGGCCAACGGGGGGATGTGCTCCATACCTGGTGGTCGTGCCCACGGTTGATTGGGTTCTGATCTCGGGTGTTTGGCCTCCTTCACACACTATTCCATGTCTCAAAGATGCAAAACTGGCTCTGTTGCATTGCCCTATAAAAGTGGAGGGAAGTCTGGCACTCAGGGGTATATAAACTCCAATAAGAAAGGGGGAAAGTACTCAAGCATAAATATCACATATGCACAAGTTTATGGTAGGTTATTGCTCAGGTATATATAATGATAGCACATGATAAATACATATACCATATCAGGGGCGGACTGACAACTCATGGGGCCCCCGGGCAATAGGGGATCATGGGGCCCCTGTGTCCTTGCCCAAACTCAAAAAAGCCTATGAAAAAGGTACCAGGGACATTTCATGGGGCCCCCTACTGACCCCGGGCCCTCGGGCAGTGCCCGAGTTTCCAAATGGTCTGTCCGCCCTTGGCAGTATGTAACAGTAACGTTTAATTCGTAGGAATAAAAACACTCACAAAAGCAAGAATAAAATTAAGCTCATCTGTGTTAGGATGTGAGACCACTCTAAATCCGTCCTGGGATACCACCAGTGTGTTAAGATGACAGCAGGATGGTGAAGCTGTGGGTGCAGTATGCAAGATCTTCCTGAGATGTTTTGGAGGTATGATGGAGCTGATCAACGGCGTCCGTCCCTGGAAGAAGCTGGAAGTGGTCGCACTACCAGCGTGGAACGTACCGGCGGAAGTGACATCACAGGATACACAGAAAACAACAGGCTATGTGCTCGGAGTGTCTAGCTCTTTCTACAGGCCTAATGTGGCTATATTCACATCAACAGAAAATTGCCACCTACCTATTGATTGCTGCAAAGCTAGTCATAGCTCGAGGTTGGAAGTCACCGTCTGTGTCCTTTGTAGCAGTTCGGAACATGCTGACCACCTTGATGGTTAACGAAAAGATGCCCGGCGTCTTACATGACAGTCATGCTATATGTTTGAAAATGTATTTGGATGCCATGGTGGTCGCTCTCCCTACGCTACACCCGACAAGTCAGGACTCTTATAACGGATGATATTCTTCCTTGGATTGCAGGACCTACCCCTTTACACCCCTCTCTGACCTCTTCCTCCTTTCTCCTTTTTTTTCCTTCCTTTTCTCTAGGACCATCTGCTGGTCCCCCTTTCACACTTCTTGATTAGTTACTCATATGAGGCATCCATCCAGGTCCACGGGCCCAGAAAGTACAGACAGACCAACGGTCTCACTCATGTGGTCGTTCTTTGGCTTCCACCTTGTTAAAATAGTTGTTGCACATTTCTTTGCCCATGTATGTTTGACTGGATTTTGTATGTCACCCTTGCATGGGTAATTTGGACTATGTTGTATAGTTTTGTTGCAACAATATTAAAAATTATTGAAGCAGAAAAGAGGTATAGACTTCAGAGAGAGATATAATTTTACCCCTGTACAAATCATTAGTAAAACCTCATCTGGAATATGCAGTTCAATTTTGGACACCAATTCACAAAAAGAACATTGGGGAACTGGAGAAAGTACAGAGAAGGGCAACTAAACTGATAAGAGGCATGGAGGAGCTCAGCTATGAGGAAAGATTAGAGAAACTGAATTAAGGGGGATATGATCAGCATGTATAAATACATCAGTGGTTCATATTGTGAACTCGGTGTAGAGTTATTCACCTTGAGGTCATCACAGAGGACAAGGGGGCACTCTTTATGTCTGGAGGAAAAGAAATTTAAATCTCCAAACACGGAAAAGTTTCTTCACAGTAAGGGCTGTGAAAATGTGGAATAGACTCCCTCAAGAGCTGGTTCTGGCCAGCTCAGTAGATTGCTTTAAAAAAGGCCTGGATTCTTTCTTGGATACACAGAATATAGCTGGATATAATATTTATAGGTTAAAGTTGATACAGGGAATATCCAATTGCCTCTGGATCAGGAAGGAATTTTTTTCCCTGATCCAGAGGCAATTTTTCCCCTGCAGGAGCAAATTGGATCATGCTTTTCTGGGTTTTTTGCCTTCCTCTGGATCAACTGTGGGTGCAGGATGCTAACTTTTTTTTTTTTTTTTATGGTTGAACTGGATGGACTTTTCTCTTTTTTTTCAGCCAGGCTATGTAATTATGTGTCCTCAGTTCCTCTCCCTCTCTGTTTCCTGATACATGGGCAAATAAATGTGCAACAACTATTTTAACAAGGTAGACGCCAAAGAACGACCACATGGGTGAGACCGTTGGTCTGCATGTACTTTCTTGGCCCGTGGGCCTGGATGGATGCCTCATATGAGTAACTAAACAAGAAGTATAAAAGGGGGACCAGCAGATGGTCTTAGAAAAAAGGAAGGAAAGAAAAAAGAAGATGGAGAAAGGAGGAAGAGGTCAGAGAGGGGTGAAAAGGGGTAGTTCCTGCAAGAAAAGGAAGAATATCCCTTATAGGAGCCCCGGCTTGTCAGGTGTAGCGTAGGGAGAATGACCACCAGGGTATCCAAATAAATTTTCAAAAATTTAGCATGACTGTCGTGTAAGATGCTGGACATCTTTTCATTAACCATCAAGGTGGTCAGCATGTTGCTTACTGTGTGTATGGACCACTGTTCAGCTATATGCTGAGAAAAGAATAGTGTGAGGCACAGGGTAAAGCGCCAAGCACATTTTAAAGATGCAAAGAGGTCTGCAGATAGCCACTGATGATTGGAAAAGTTAGTGGAAGAAGGCAGGTTTGGGGGATGCCTGCATAAGCACATCCTTACATAAAAAATTTTTTGGCTAAATTGGTGGCTTTGACACTGGGCACGTGTTTTCTAAAGTGATGGATGATACACAAAGATTTCCATCTGCATTCCTCCACTTGTGACAACAAACTGCTGATCTTTATTGAAGTACTGTATACTCAGGTGCTACTCCTTGTAAATTTGGACATAGCTTCACAGGTTTGCCATTAAGTAGAAATGCAATTACGCATTCAAAATGCTGAATGATTCACTCATTGGCACTAATTACTCATAGGTCACACATTTTTCCCATTATCTGCACTAGATCAGATAGGTCTGATGAAAGCAGGGTCAACTACCTACTTCATAAGTAGGGGTCATTTTATTCAGAGGACTTATTTTATTTATCCATTTCAAACACAGCAGCTAAGACACAAAGCAGCATACTGATTCCTAAAACAACATTTTCTGACTTA